AACTAAAAACGAATCTACCATATGATACAATTATACCACTCCTTGCCACTTACACAAAGGACTCATCCTACTGTAGAGATACTTGTGCATCCATGTTTGCAGATCTTAGCACCAATCCCTTATTCATGAATCTATACCCTGATGTAACAGCAGGAGCCAGGAAAATGGAAAGGAAACATGGAGGTAAAGGCAGGGAAGGAGCCCAAAAGAGGGAGATAGTAGGAACAGAGTTTACAAAGGGGGAAATGGGAAAAACGTGGATATTCAGCTGAAAAAGGACAAGGAAGGACACACAAGGAACCCTGGGGGTAAAATGGAAGAAGGAACTCAAAAGAGGGGGTATAATAGCAAACATGTATTATCAAGGGGAAAACAAGAAAAATGGGGCACTTAAACTGGGGTGGGAGGAGGGAGGTCAGACAGGGAGAGAGAGGAGAGATAAATAAAGCTTAGCTGATGTAAAAAGCCAGAGGGAAATTCCAGGAAAAATACACATACAATATCTGAACATTAGTGCATGTGTATACCTGAAGGTTATATAACAAGGAACACAGTGCCAGACAGGAGAAATCTCTTTTCAAGCTGTTGGTCAAAATAGTCCTACAAAGTCCCAAAATAACACAGGGTATTGACATGACCTTTGTTTAGCTCCCAGAACTTGAAGGTAAGACTATTGTTGAAGAGAAGACATGTCAGACACAGGACTTGGAGCAATGGAGCAGGAACTGACCTGGACGCCTTCTTTCTAAAGACTAGCTCTCATAATTCTGGAGGATACTATGCAAGCTGCTAAGGGAGAAAATCAATAAATGGTCCAGCCCAGCTCTAAAGCCTAATAACCACAATGAATGGCACAGCAAACTATCTCTATTGGTGCAGTGGTGGCACTGTTATCTAGGGGATAATCCGGCAGCAATCTCATTGGATTTGGAGCCCTCTCAATAGAAGGAAACTCATGGATAACACTGTAAATATAGCCAAATATACATGGCTAGAGAGGTCATAGATCCTAGAGAAAACCCTATCTCTGTCATATCTCTAGACAAATGAAATTTCTTTTTGTAAATAAACAATTTATTGAGAATTTCATACATGCATATAAGGTGTTTTGATCAAATCCATGACCACTCCCTCCCTTCCAACTCTCCCCATATCTCTCCATCACTTTTTTCTGATAACTTCATGTACTCTTTCTTCTTCTTTGATTTATTTATTTTTTTATGGGGCTTTTGGCTACTCTAACATTCCCTCCTCTGAAGCAGTAACCCTAAAGTCTTCTAAGGATTAAATAAAAGCTCCCAATTTCTTTTGACATTTTTGGCCTTTGAAACGGAGTATGTTACTAACAGGCCCAAGGACATTTTGACTTTTAGCCAAGAAACTGGCTACTTTTCTTTGGGGTCTTTTCACCCTAACTGCCTAGCCAATTCCTACCTCTTATTCTTATCACACCATCCTCTGAAGAGGTTACCCAAATTTCCAACAGGGAATCGGGATGCAGACCACTCTGGCTTCTTCCATCCTGAACAGGGATGCAGGGTGAGGCAACTGGGGTACCCCTTCAGTGGGTCCATCTAAAAGACTACCAAATTGCATAACCATTATCTCTAGGGGGAAAAGAAAGCCCTTGAACTGTGAATAAGAGATGTGAAGGAGAAGTAAAGGCAAGAGTAATTAGCATTGCGAGCTCTAGACAGGGAACTAGAAAAAAGAAGAAATTTCTTACCATATGCTAAATATGGATCCTTATATTTACAGACAAATACGCTGTACACCACTAATCAAAGAAGCTTCTTTTTGCAACAGATGGAGGCTGTTGCAGAGTTCCACAACTGGTGAGACACAGAGAATATACATCTGAGAGCTGCCCAGCCCTAAGTGATACATCTACAGTGGCTTTTTCTACACCTAAGACTCATGGAACATAGTAGAACAGGGCCTAGAGAGACTACTAATACATCCCTCAACTCTTACCAGAAAAGCTTCCTCATACAACAGAGTGTGATGCACACAAAAGGCCACAACTGGCTAAGTTTTACAGAATAAGAGACGGCAGAATACATGTGCTTGGATAGACTACTATATTAAACCTCACTCAACAATGGCTCAGGAGCCACTGTGGAAGAGGGTAAAGAAAAGTTGTAAGAACGAGGGTTGGTGTATGAACATAAGGAAACAGAGACTTTCAGGCCACTGGAAACTTGTTCATATGAACTTGCAACAATGCTGACAGCATGCATAAGACCCATGCCAACTCAGTCAAAAACCCAGCATGGAGCATGGGAAATACAGCAAGCCCCAACCCTAACTAAGGAACTACTGGCAACCAGTTACTGCTGGGTGAGGGAGAGTAGATCTTCTTTAAGGGAGTGACTCTAAATAAACTGACTAGACTCCAGAGGATGAACTTGCACTGAGGGACACCTAGATAGAAATGCTTGACCGTATAGAACTCAACATATATGACAGAATACCTGAAATCTGGTGTGTGGGAGGGTACTATGGAGGATTGGGAGGAGGGAGGGGATACAAAGTTAACTAAGATGTGTTTTATGAAATGCACAAAAACTCAATTAAAATGCTGAAAATGGAAACTAATAGGAAAAATGTAAATACATATTAAGCAATTCTCTATAAAAAGTATACTTACATAATTCTGTAAGCAATTCTCTATAAAAAGTATACTTACATAATTCTGTATTGTTTTTCTAAAAATATGTTTTGTCCCATCATCCTAGCTGCTTCAGGATTAAGCTTCAGGAGCATATGGCTTCCTTCAGAAGAACAGTCTATCAGGAAAAACAAAATGTTTTTTTCCATATGTGCATATGCATTTGATAGGGTTAGGAAATAAGTTGTTTAGAAGAGCAGAGGTGGTGCAGCTTGAGCATCTTCTTATAATACAAAAGCAATTCAAAATTACAGCCTTGGAGAAATACCCTTGTCCATGGGTAAAAGTGCAAGAAATGCCAAATTAAACATACTGGAGTCAGTTCAGACATTAAAGTGAGAGAGGTAATTTGTGAACAGAAAAGAAGGCTAAAGGTAAGTGAGAGCAATGTTAGGGTTGAACCATAGGTGCTCATTAAATTTTACATCCTCTCTATGTAAATTTTCCTTGTGAGAATACTTGAGCACACCCTGGGTACATAATTAAAACAAAGGGTCACAAAAATAGTGGTCAAAGTAACTTTGTGCCTAAAAGTTTAAATGAATTACCATACCATATAATTGTTAAAACATTCCTGTAATGAATCAACATGTAGCAATATAAGAATGTTATTTTTTCCAGATATGTTGATTAATATGGTAGTTCAAATTTTTTAATTTAAAGAAATGAACTAAAAGATAACTAATTACAGTTAGCTAGGAAATTTGTGAATATAGTTAATGGAGACTGATAACGTTCTTGAAAATAAAAAGGGTGAATATCAAATTCTATCATCACAAAAACAACTATGGGTAATGTGATTACTAGATAGGTTTAATCATTTTGTAAAGTGCCTGCACCACAAAACACCATGTTATGCGTGATAAATGCATAGAGTGCTGTCCATCAATTTTAAAAATTAAAAGAAGAAAGATTCCCTTTCAAGCAAAATCTCTTTACGCCTGCTAATGTCATAGAAGGGGAACTTTGACCTCTTCCCATTCTAGATGTGCATGAGCCATTGTCCACTCTGCATATGAAGAAGAACACGGTCATCAGCCAAAGAGAAGCAACAGTCCGACCAGTAGGCCTAACTGAAAATGGCTTCTGCCCCAGCTTGTTTTAGGGGTTTCAGCAGCTCAGAGAGTTCCTCAATGAAAAAGAGCATGGCTCCCATTATTTTATTTTGGAAGCTTATTTTTCTGGTTTCATTTCCAAAGAATACACTGAGAAGCTTGAAAAGATGGGCCCAGCCAAATTTTGACACATCCTAGTCAGTTTCCTTTGCATTCCTCAAAAACCTGGTGCACAACTCAGCATCTGGACAGGTGTCTATTCTCACCTTGGTGCATACTTGGATTGGATTTAAGTGCTTTGTGAACCCAGAAAAACAATTAGGGATCACGAACCCCATGTCTTATCCAGGGTCGCATGTGGAGTGCTGTAGTGAAACACACAAATGAACTGCAGGCTGAAGTCTTGACTTCTTGCTAGTTGTAATCAATCCTTTCAACATTTCTCAACTACAAAATGATAATTCTTACTTTAAAGGATTTGTATGTGTGTGATAGTTAAATAAGACAGTATGAAAGTGCTTCATAAATTGCACAGAACTATAAAAAGTATTTTAATCTAGTAAGCATATTTGATATGCAAAAGAAATATTGGACCATATTCAACTTCGATGTTAATACAATCTTACCCATTTATTAATTCCAGTATTGCTCCAGAATTATGGACCTTCCTCTAACCTGATTGGCTATTTTTGTCCTCAAATTTACATAGAAGGAATGTCTTCATTGACAGTTTCTTTGGTAGCCATCTATAAGATGTATTTGTGTGTCTATAAAATGTACCATTATGAAGAATATGTTACAAATAATAACTGATTTTAAATTATCATCATCATACCAGTTCAGATCGATCTGTAAGCATGCAGATTCATCTCCATATTAAGTTACTGTTGCTAATATTATTTAAGTGTCCAGGAAAAGTATCATTGGAAATCTTAGGTGCACAAAGTATTTTTAACTTAGGAAATCCAATGAAATTCAGATGGCAATATTTAGTCATGTCTTCTACTAGCACAAGAGAACAAGATTAGTTTAATAACATTCATGATTTTGATATTTCACTTTTTCAATATAATAAAATAAAACAATTAGAGTTGACCTAACCCTTTTAGACGTTTTTACAATGCCATTTTATTTAGATGTACAAACTTCCTTATAAGCAGAGATGATGAAATAGTAGACTATTACAGGCAGAGAAGTTTCTATAAAAACCCAAGACATCACTTGTTACAGGCACAGGTGCAGTTAGTTATTCCAGATATCATTTCTGTTTTCAGGAAACAAAAAATAAACAGAAGATCATGGCAAGTGCAGACTGGGGATACAATGACAAAAATGGTAAGAGTACTTCTTTTCATAAAGGACAGAATAACAGTTTATTCCCTTTTCTAATAGAAGATACATTAAATATTTAACATAACTGTATGGCCCAGGTTAGTGGTTTGAGTCACTGTGAACAATTATAATATCCTCAAAAGAATTTTAAAAAAATAATTTATTGAGAATTTCATACATGCATATAAGGTGTTTTGATCAAATCCATGCCCACTCTCTCCCCTCCAACTCTTCTCATATCTCCCAATCACTTTTTTCCTGATAACTTCATGTACTTTTTCTTCTTTTTTTATGGGGCTTTTTGCTACTCTAATATTCCCTCCTCTGAAGAGGTAACCCTAAAATATTTTAAGGATTAGATAAGCGCTCCCAAATACTTTTGACATTTTTGGCCTTTGGAACAGAGTATGTTGCTAAGAAGCCCAAGGACATTGTGAATTTTAGCCAAGAAACTGGCTACTTTTCTTTGGGGTCATTTTACCCCAATTGCTTAGCCAATTCCTACCTCTTATCACACCATCCTCTGAAGAGGTTACCCAAATTTCCAACAGGGAATCGGGATGCAGATCGCTCTGGCTTCTTCCATCCTGAACAGGGATGCAGGGTGAGGCAATTGGGGTACCCCTTCAGTGGGTCTATCTAAAAGACTCCTAAATTGCATAAGTCTTATCTCTAGGGGGAAAAGAAAGTCCTTGACTGGTGAATAGGAGATGTGAAGGAGAAGTAAGGGCAAGAATAATTAGCATTACAAGTTCTAGACAGGGAACTAGAAAAAAGTCAGAACAGGGCAAATCTTCAAAAGAATTTTTTGATAGCTCGTCTTTGGGCATGAAGTTCTACAAAATGAGTTGGATATGTTCATACTAGAAATCTCTTGCTCACAGTAACATTTCTATCATCTAATTCTATAGACAATATGTGTAGGCCTATATTGTTGATGTTGACAAATATACTATTAAGTAATATGGTGTAGAAGAGACTTTTTTAGACTTTTAAAAAATTTATTGAGTATTTGTGCATTTCATATAATAGAGTTTAATCAAATTTAGATCCTCCCTCCCCCATACAAGTCCCTTCCCATAGTCCTCCCCTGGATTTCATGCATTCTGTCATATATGTTAAGTCCTATCCTGATGTCCCTCGATGCAAGTTCATCCACTGGAGTCTAGTCAGCCGATCTAGAGTCCCTCTCTTAAAGAAGATCTCCTCTCCCTCACCCAACAGTAATCAGTTGCCAATAGTTCAGCTAGGGTTGGGGCTGCTGCCTATTTGCCTCATTCTATGCTGGGTTTTTGGAAAAGAGACATATTTTTAAAAAATAAGATTCCATTAAGTTAAAAAAGAGTGCATTTAAGATATCTGAATAAACCATAATCTAAAAAACAAGGTAGTTGAAGTCCTGACACTTAGAATCAAGCTTTCTGTAAAGTTTTGGTTATATGGAAATGTTTGTTTTCATAGGTCCTGATCAATGGGGCAAGCTGTATCCTATTGCCAATGGAAACAACCAGTCTCCTATTGATATTAAATCCAGTGACGCCAAGCATGACACCTCCCTGAAACCTATCAGTGTCTCCTACAATCCTTCAACTGCCAAAGAAATTGTTAACGTGGGACATTCCTTCCATGTAGTTTTTGATGACAGTAGTAACCAATCTGGTAAGCCCAAAGATATTTGTTTCCTTAGAATCTACCAGGTAAATTTAAACAATCGGACCTCAGAAACAACAGCATCCTAGGTATTTTGCACGTGTAGAATTGCCATATATAGGAGGCATTGTGGTGCCTCCTGGAAAATTGTTTGCAGAACTCCCAGCTCTGCCTTCTCTCAGTCCTTCTTCTTAATGTACTACGTTACCTCTTCTGGCCATTCCAGGATCTTTATCTACATTATCTTTGAATAAGCAGCATGTCTCCAAAATGGTCTAGGGACCAAATCATTATAGACATGAAACCAAAAGGGCAAATTATTCTAATTGGGATGAGAGTCAAGGGGATGAGTGAGCTCCCCTCACATCCCAGAATCTGGCCTGTTGCCTGTCACATGTCAGTTTTTCATTAGTGTTTGTTGGGTAAGCTGTTAAATGACAATTCTGTAAGAGTTCTGCTGATATAAAATGCCAGGCTTGTTTTAGTATTTTTCCATGAGATTCTAAACCTAAATGTTAGGTACCTCAGGGATATGGCCATTGTTAACACTAGATTTAGGTCTAGTGTTGTGATTGCCTAAGTAATCATGTGATTGGACAGACACCGCGGGCTGGATGGTCATTCAGAGCAAGCATTTTTAAAGTGGCCTTGCCAAATGTCTCTTGGTCTATGGCCAGAGGTTCTCAACAAATTTTTCAATATACACTGTTTTGTCTACATTAAGTATAGAAATGTGATGAATAATTTGTTAACCAAAAGAACCTATCAACTCTGATATATACTATCCATGTAATTTTTGTTGGATGAATGAATGAACTTGCAAATTAAAGGGAATTCAAGGAAAGTCCTGAAATCGTACAACTCATTCACTTTGGAATATGTCATTTTGATGATAGAAATGGGTAACTTTGTAGTTCCTGTGCTGGAAACTGTATATACATTAGAACTGCATTGCAGAGGCACTATGCACACAAATGTCATCACCATGCATGTGGAGTGGGGAACCAATGAAAACAAAATGTTTTGAGAAATGTTGGTGTTTGTTTCCATTTCACTCAATACAAAGTGGCCTTAATTTATCTAAGATGCACTAGCGATCACCTGTCTGACAATAACTCCCTTTCTTTCTAGTGCTGAAAGGTGGCTCTCTTTCTGATGGCTATCGGCTCATCCAGTTCCATTTTCACTGGGGCGACTTGAATGACCATGGCTCTGAGCACACAGTAGATGGAGTCAAATATTCTGCAGAGGTAAGGTGATGTATTAATGAGAAATAGCTCATGAGTATGCCTCAGAAACAGACTGGAGAAGCCATTCATAATGCCTCAAAGGGGAGTGCACCCTGGTCTCTATCAGGATTCCCAGATTCCAGTAAAGCCTAACACAGAAACACCATGTTTGGCCACAGAGGGAATATTTCCTGGGGAAAGAGACAACAGAATTTGGGGGACCGAAAGAGCACCAAAAACTTTGATATCTTGCTAACTTCAAGGATGGTTCTACTTGCCTTTAAATCTTGGACCTAAAAAGGGCATTGCACATTCTTTTTTTTACTTAAATTTCAAGTTTGGACACAGCAGTAGCCTGGGTGTGTCCAGGCAGAAACACTGAAGTAACACAGTAGAAAAAGCTGGACTTCAGTCTTAGCAATGGCTGCCAGGTAGAGCCCACACCTAGACAAGGTTCTGAAGTTTCCTGGCTCCAGGTCCCCTGCCACCTCTTGACCTTCCCCCATAAAAAGATATGATCTGTTTGTAGATATTATACTTATATTCCCATTGAAATACTGTGCACATATGCATAAAATTTAATAGAGAGTTTAGGAGATAGAAGAAAACCTTCACTCTCTATTTGTATGGATATGTTGCATGTATATTACCATAGAGATAAGCTGACTTTTTTATTTTACTTTGGTAAAATGAATTTTATGATGCATATAGTTTTAAAATTTACTTTTTTCCATTTACCAGTTTATCATGATCACTTTCCAAGTCAGATGATTTGATTTCACTTCATTTTTAAATAACTGTGTACATTTCAATTGCATGATCATATCAGAATTTATTCAACTGACCGACCTCTTTTGTGGATAATTATAATGTCTACTTATTTTTATCCCACTATGAGTTTTGTTGGCATTTTCCTTTTATCAAAACAGCACTTATATTAATACATTATATTTATATCTTAAATACCAATGATAGCAACTATAAAAGAAATTTTTCTCAAAAGGGATTTCTAGGTTATAAAACATGTACATTTTATTGTAGAATTAGATGCTTAAGGTCTGTATAATTTTATGCTATTTTATAAAGCTTAGATACTTTTCAGTACTGCAGAAATCTATTAAAACTCATTCTCAATTTCTCCCTGTAAAATTTAATGTGGACTAAAATGAAATGGATTCCTAAGTATTGTATTATGTTTGGGGAAGGATACTTATTAGTATCCAAGAAACCTAAATCAGTGATTTTATTTACTGAACTGAATTGAGAGAATTAAAATACTCTAAGCTAGTGTTAAGAAACATTTAGCCACAAAGTGCTACATGCAACTCAATACCCAGCTCAATAAACCTGTGTGGGATAGTTTAGACATACTAGGTTCAAGGGGCAATATGCCAGGCCAGTGGGGACAAATGCAAGCTCCTCCTTTGATTTCCACCTGTGAATCAAAGCTGAGTCGTTTCCCAGCTGTATGACTTTGGGTAGATCACTCTGTGTCCTAATCTTCTCATCTATAAAATTAGGCATTATAGTATTCATGTCTTTCTCATACACTTATGAGAAATGAGTAATGAGTAAACACACACAAGGCACACTTAGGCCATAGCCTTTCACACTATAAATACTCAGTAATATTACTTACAGAGGACACAAGCAAGCCCTTCCCAGTTAAGAGCGCATGTGCATACACGACTGAGATTAAGTAAATATAGTACTAAATGTCAGTGTGAGTACTTACAAAGCACCCTCAGAATGCAGGTGTAAGAATTACCAGTGAGTAGAGATAAAATCTAAACTAGCATGGGCAGAGGGAAAGACAGTGAGATAACACTTCAATTAGGACTAAGAAGTAATCTCTCTCAGAAAGAATGTTCTAATCATTTTTTTTCATTTATCAAATATTTATCGAGTGCTTACAATGTGCTAGATTCTTGTTTTGAAAGTAACCAAGTCAGAATTCAGTTACATTTCCCCCTACATTTGGTAGGGGAAAGAAAAAAAATTTAAAGAAAGGGTGGGAGGGAGGAAAGAGAAGGTGAGGGAAGGGAAAGAAGACACTAGATAAATGGCACTGAAATAATGGATTTGATTTATGGTGGTCACTTTATATTGGCTAATCAATTTCCTTAAAGAGTGGTATTTGCATTCAGTCTTCTGATTCTAGAGGAAAGGGAAGGAAATTCCAGAAAGTCAGCTGATACAAAACTCCCAAGCTGTGAACAAATGAGGAAGTGTAGTCTGTTGACATGGATGCGATCGCTGTGGAAAGCATAAGGTTGATGGTAACTGTGGTACTTTTTGATTGAGCAAGTAAGTGGATAGTGTTAAAGGAGAAAATGAAACAGGTATGGAGGAGGAATCATGGGCTCTTCTTCAGCCATATGAAGCCTAAGATATCTATTAGTCATCAATGTGGAGATACCAAGACAGTATCAAGATCATCAAAAGGCATACGTGAACACACAAGCCTAAAATTATACCAAGAGTTTAGACTGCAGATGCTGACTGAGAGGAGTCTGGAAAATACCATGGTGGGCCAGAGGACCTGTCCTCAGCCAAGGCTCCCAGCAGCTGAGAAGCCTCTTCTTATAAAGTCACCTCATATGAGAGAAAGTGACTTCACCTTTTGTCCTAAAGTTAGTCATATTTCCTGTATATTTTCATATAAAAGAGAGAGAGTTCTTAAAGCAGTAAAATTGAATAGTCACCAACATTGTAGGAAAAGCTTTTCTCATGGTTCCAAGTGTAGTCCGCTCGCACTATTCAATACACACTTGCCAAGAGTGTCCTGCCCACAAGATGAGGACTCATATGAATTTTGTCTATGCTATGCTACATCTTCATTAATGACAGATTAACATGTAATTTACCTTCTGTCTTTGCCCTTACTTAAATGTTAATGGTGAATTAACTGTGTCATTATTTTTAGCTTCATATAGTTCACTGGAATTCTGCAAAATACTCCAGTGCTGCTGAAGCCATCTCAAAGGCTGATGGTATAGCAATTGTTGGTGTTTTGATGAAGGTGAGTCACAAGTAGCTACACAGTTCCATCACTTGATTTTTTTATATGGTAGATGTTGATGAAACTTGTGATCATTTAAATTTATATTATCATTGAAAAGATTCTCTGTAGAAAGTCATCATTAAATTGGGTAAGACTGAGTGGACTGACTTTGGAATTATAGTAATTGGACTTGATCTTTATTAAAAACTCCGATTACAACAACAACAAAGTGTACTAACTCTAACTCAGAACAGATCCGAAAAAACAAAGGTATGGCTTTTCTGTCATAGTTTTGCTAAACATTTAGATTTTGTATATCTTTGACCATCTTGTTCATAATTAAATTTAAGCCTAGTTTTCTGTTTACTTTATCTGTGGTTATATCTGATAAACAGTTTGCAGTATGCACAATCCCATAAGGACATGCACCTCAGAAAATTTTCTCTTAAAGAAGAAAGAAATCCCATATCTCTTTTCAGTTATTGATGTTAATTACAAAATAAAAATGAAAATTTGACTAAACGACATTCTATTGATAACTACCTTTCTCACACCTTATTTCATTTTTTAAAAATTCTCCAGCTTGGTCAAGCCAACCCAAACCTGCAGAAAGTACTTGATGCCCTAAACTCAGTTAAAACCAAGGTAAATGAACTCTGCCTAAGAAACTGATACAGAGGTTTGCTCCTTTGTTTTTTTGCCAGTTGTTGATTTCAGGTCTGTGTAAAAGCAGGTTATATAACCATTCTGATCTGTTTAAAAAGCTGATTGTGCTCAAGTTTCATGAAGAAAAACATCTTGATTTCTTTAGCAACACAAAAGTTTAGGTGTGAAGAGCCCTATTTGACAACTGTGATTCCCTAATAAACTCAAAACATTTAATGAATTTTCTGAAATGCCAAAACTTAGTATCATTGTTTTAACAACAGCTGGATCATAAATTAAAGAGATTTGTCATTTCATTTCACAGTGTGGAATGCTATCATATTTTTATGTAAAATTTGTTTTGTACTGAGCTCAATCATGAAACAATGAATACTAGAAAAGTCAATTTAACTCAGATAAAATTGCTAAATAACATACAAGATAATATTATATGTATAAAAATAAAGATACGTGGCATATATTGATATATTTTATACCATGATATAATATTTTATACTATTAGATGTATATAAAAATAGATTCATGGCATACATTGATATCAATATTTTATACCATTATATACTGTTTTGTTCACAGGGTAAACGAGCCCCATTCACAAATTTTGACCCGTCTGTTCTCCTTCCTTCATCCCTGGATTACTGGACCTATTTTGGCTCTCTGACTCACCCTCCTCTTCATGAAAGTGTAACCTGGTTCATCTGCAAGGAGAGCATTAGTATCAGCGCAGAGCAGGTAATGTGTCAAAGGGAAAGAGTGGGACAGGCAGGAAAGTCACTCCAGTTGGCAACATAGTATCTCAATTAGGCTTTTGATGACTATATTTTTACCTACAAATGAAAAAGATACATTTTAGTGTAGGATTTCTGAATAAGAAAAAATAACATTATAATACTGTTTTATTATATGCAGAGAATAAATGCATGAGATTCAGAATTCCCACTGTTCTTCTCTACAAGAAAAAGCCTAAACTTGTTAGATTATTTTCTTAAGATTTCCAAAAGAGAGGGTAAATTTGCAATGGGAGTTCTATCCAGCTCTGGAGAACTGTGGTTCGCAGGTGGCATAACTAACAGTTGGCAACATATTTCTATTTGTTCTTACAAATTTAAGTTTCTAAATATCCCACAAAGTACCTTCCTGATTATTATTTCTAATGCTCCTGGTGGTGGGGGTGATTGATAGAATGGCTACTTTCATGAGGTGTCTTGTGTGTTTGTTTTGTCAGCCTGTTCTCACAGCATTGTGACCTGTCGCTAACCAACGTTTGTTAAGCAGAGCCATGCTCCAAGCACTACTACAGGCCCTTTGGGTGGATCAGGCCACTTAACCTTGACAGCAGCCCCATGAAAGAGGCCTAATACTGAAAGAGAGGCACTGAGCTGAGGCATCACTTGCCCAATATCCTTAGCTTACAAAAAGAAAGCTGTAGTTCTAATGGAGTCAACCACACTCATTTAGGCAAAATACCTGGTGCAAAGATCTGGGAAAAAGTCAAGCCTCCTCCCTTCCCACTCAGAAAAATGCCACAATCTTCAACTGTTTTCTAAGGAACAGTGCATTAATTACACTGGAAACGAAGTGCTTATGATTTTTAAGTTTTTCATTCTTTAAATATTTATCTATACAGCTGGCACAGCTCCGCAGTCTTCTGTCAAGTCCAGAGGGAGAGAGCCCTGTTCCGGTTCTGCACAACCACAGGCCACCCCAGCCCCTGAAGGGCAGAACAGTGAAAGCCTCTTTTTGAGACCCAGCAAGGAGCAAGTCCTCCCTCAGGAACCCAGCCATACAGCTGACATCACCCCCAAAAGCCATCAGTTTTAAGAAACAAATTTATTTCTGTACTAGCAAGATAACATACCTGCAAATTTTAATCTATAGAACAAAAAACCATTTATTTTAATTCTGATGCTTCAAAAATCATCCATAAGCTTGCCAGTAGTAATCTTTAAACATGCTTTTCTGCTTAAATTTACTTTTCTATTTGGAATGTGTCATAATCAGTTAAGTGATTTGTTTTTCTTCCTGCTCTCTCCATTGTAATTGAATCAATAAAGTGGCTTCTTCACTTTCTTCTTGACTGTTGTGCATTTTATTAAACCATTAGGTTTCTCCTCCATTCACATTCAGAAATCTTTTTTTAATATGTTATTATTTTTATTTTATGTGTGTGAGTATATTGCCTGCATGTGTGTAAGTGCACCCGTGTCGTGCAATGCCTGCAGACATCAGAAGAGGGCGTCAGATTCTCAAGAACTGGAGTTATGGACCGTGGTTAGCTGCCATGTTCGATGTTGGGAATCAAACCCAGGTCCTCTCCAAGAGCAGCCAGTCTTAACCTCTGAGCCATCTCTCCAGCCCCCACATTCAGAAATCTTAAATGTCTTACTTATTTTGTCTCAAATAGAAGCTAAGAGCATCCTGAAATGAAATGTTGAGAGATAATTGACAAATATGTAGCTTAAGATGGCATCTGGATTTATTATTATGCTAGAATAGCACTGCCTCCATGTACATGCTCTGTGATTGTACAAAAGATACATTTTACCATAGGAAGATAGTGCTTCTGGATATTGTTTCCACTTCTTTGTATACTAGAAAGGCCATTGCTTTTCCACAATTATTATAACTGAGGAGTTTGAGTGGAGATTTTGTACTTTAAAACTGGAAGAGGCTGGGGTGATAGGTGAGACAGTAAAGTGATTGCCATGTAAGTACAAAGACCTGCACTGATTCCCCAGAACTCACTTAAAAACAGTATGGTTTCCTGCATGGTGGCACACTTGTTATCCAAGGATTGGGGAGGTGGAGACAAGTGGATCTCAGGGACCTACGGGCCAACCCAGCCTGCGTGTCTAGATGCAGGCCATTGAGAGACTCTGTCTCCAAAAAAAGGTGGATGGTGCATGTGAAAAGAGGTCTGAGGTTGACCTCTGGCAACACACACACACACACACACACACACACACACACACACACATGCACGCATGCACGCACACGCACACACATGAACATGCTATATACAAGCACACATATACAAAAAAGGAGATAAATTATTAGTAAATGGTTTGAGGCCAAGGGGTCACTTGGTCTTAGAACCATATAGAAACATCATGCAATTTTTCACTCAGTCCTTTCTGAGGCCAGATCTGCATCCAGAACTCTACAAATCCTGTTCAGTCTCGAGATTTTCTTTAGTTATCTCATCTGAAAATGGTAACAGAGACAAGCTCATTCTAATGTCCTTCTCAGTGAATGTCAAAGAATCATTCAAAATCTCCCAATAATGATAACATTGGAAAGAGGAAGCAGACTCTGAGGAAGCTCTGCTACAAGCTTTGTGTTTCTTCACTACCTAATCACCTGAGATTCACTTTAAAAAATTTGACTTGAGGCTTCACACTGACACAAATTCTCTTTATTAAATGGAATAGACACAAGAAATATTTTAGCTCTGTTTCCATAAACACTTTATAAATACAAAATTCTTTGCACAGGTAACCTGTGACTATTACTCTACATTGTTTAATTGCCTGTGGGCACCTCATGGCAAGGAAGCAAGGAGAAGCCGCAGTAGCTGAGGGTCCTTCTCAGACAACTGGCAGGAAAACTGAGACCTGAGCCACATAGCCACAAGGAAATGAATCCTATCAGAAATAGTGCATTTGGAAAAAGAACTCAAAGTTCATTCGAGGAGTATTCTACATTTGCCAAACACTCAGGAAGCTGGAAAAGATGCACCTGTCCTGTGATCCTCAGTTTATATGCACCATAACTATTGCATTATGTGTGCACATGTTCATCTGTGTGTTCACTGCATGTGTGTGCTCAGGTACACATGGAGGCCAGAGGCCAATGTCAGGTGTCTCCCTCAGTTGTTCTCTACCTTGCTTTTTGAGATAGGGGCTCTTACTGAACCCAGAACTCAGTGATTTGGCCAGACTAGCTATCCAGTGAGTTCCAGGGATCCTTCTATCTCTACCTCCCCAGTACTGGGGTTAACAGACACAAGGTGCTGCCATGCCTAGCTTTTATGTGAGTTCTGGGGATCTAAATTCAGGTCTTCATGCTTCATGCCAAAGAGAAAACAATGTGAATTTAATTTGAGAAATACATGTTCAAACAATGCTCAGGACATATAATATTTTTAAAGATTTTCTGGAAAATAGGTAATCTCATAGGAAGGGCCAAATAAATACTTGACTCAAAGACCTGTGTTTCATTTTAAGGTTAAAATGGATTCCAGAATTTATATGCATGTCTGTGGGTTATAAAATGTTCAGGGCAGTAGATATATGAGGGTAATCAACCTGCCTCTCTAAGCTAATTGCCCCTTCTTTTTAAAAAAAAATTTATTGAGAATTTCATACATGCATATAATGTGTTTTGATCAAATCCATATCCACTCCCTCCCCTCCAACTCTTCCCATATCTCCCCATCACTTTTTCCTGAACAACTTCATGTACTCTTTTTATTTTTATGGGGCTTTTTGCTACTCTAACATTCTCCCCTCTGAAAAGGTAACCCTAAAATCTTTTAGGGATTAGATAAGAGCTCCCAAATACTTTAGAAAGTTTTGGCCTTTGGAACATAATATGTTGCCAAAAGGCCCAAGGATATTTTGATTTTTGGCCAAGAAATTGGCTACTTTTCTTTAGGGCCTTTTTACCCTAACTGCCTAGCCAATTCCTACCTCCTATTTCTATCACACCATCCCCTGAAGAGGTTACCCAAATAACCGATAAGGAATCAGGACACAGTCCTCTCTGGCTTCTTCCATGTTGAACAGGAATGCAGGGTGAGGCAGCTGGGGTACCCCTTCAGTGGGTCTATCTAAAAGACTCCCAGATTGTATAACTCTTAACTATAGGGAGAAAAGAAAATCCTTGCCTGGTGCCTAGGAGATGTGAAGAAACGGTTAAGGCAAGAGTGGTCAGCATTACAAGTTCTAGACAGGGAACTAGAAAAAAGTCAAAACAGCAAATTTCAAATGTTCGTATGAGAGTCCATTGGAATTTCTTGATGAGAGCTTCCAAAAACATCCCTCCATTGAGTTCCTCCTCAATATACACATAATTTAAAAATTTCTAAGGTTATAGTTTAGTCAACTAGTTTAAGGAAACAAAATATATGTCTCATCAAGGTTTATCTGAGAACATTTGGTTTTTTCCCAAGCTTTATCTACATGGCACATGGTAATTAAAAATATCAGACTGGTGGAACTAACCTTCTTGGATGTTTAACAGCCATACTTTGAGGTCTACACTAATATGGTCAGAGGGACACAAAGGACAGTTCTTGCTCTTTGCCCTCCAAGGTTGACTAAGTTCCAGGGGACTATGGAACATCTCTCAAAATGTCCTGTAACTGTGATGAGTCATCTGTTCTCTGGTTCAGGGAGGCTGTGGAAATCTCACCAGATGGACTTGAACCAGTGTCCCATCTACAAAGAGAAGGGTCAACACAGAGGAAACATTTCCTCCACGTTTCCAAACGAAGCCAGCCACAGTTGAGTAGGACTTTGACTTGTCTTCACATAGATGGAACTGATTGCCCCTTCTTGGAAGGCTGCTTTCCTCCTGCTCCTGCTCTTGCTTTTGTTTGTTTGTTTGTTGTTTTGTTTTTTGTTTTTTTTTTTTTGAGACAGGGTCTCTCTGTAGCCCCAGTTGGCCTGAAACTTGGTAGGCAGACCAGGTTGGCCTTGAATTCAGAGAGATCTGCCTGCCTCTGCCTCCCAAGTGCTGGGATTAAAGGCAAGCACCACCACACTGGACTCCTCCTGCTCCTGCTTTATGGGGTCTTCCAACACTTCTCTAAAGTGGTTACAAAGAAACCACTGAGAGATGACTCATGGAGAACCTTTGGACCACCTGAGGATTTGGCCACATGTCACCAATTTGCCTTCTCCTCTCTGCTCTCCTCTCTTGCGACTTGGGTGGAAAATTGAACACCCTAGAAGGATTTTCTGTTTTTTGAAGCTGTTTGGCAGCTGACGTTATTTATTCCAAATTCCTTAGGCCTGTCAGCATTGGGAATAAGGTCCAGCACAGTCTCCCAGGGGGTGGGGGTGGTGCTTTCACACCTTGCTCTTTTCTGTCTTATGGCTTCCTCAGAACCACCATGCAGAGCACTACTCTGGCCCCCTTCTGCTGATATGTGAGTTCAGGAGAACGTTTTCTTTTTAGAAACTTTATTCAATTAATGTGGATCAGTGTTCTGACTGCATATATGTAAGTTCATCCTTGTTGTGTAATGCCCAAGAGTCAAGAAGAGGGTGTTGGAGCCCCTGGAACTGGAGTCACAGACAGCTGTTAGCTGCCATGGAAATACTAGGAACAAAACCCAGATAGGTGCTCTAGAAGAAAAGCAGTCAGTGCTCTTAATGACTGAGCCATCTCTCCAGCCCCCAGGTGAATATTTTCCTAAGTTGTCCATTTGCTTGGGTTTTAGCAAACAAGAAACATCCTCTAAAATATTAAATTCATCAAAAGAGGAATTTGGCTAAATTACAAGAAATTAAAGAATTATCATTGTAAAATTTAATTTAATTTAGGACACAAAAAGCATATGCCTATTATAATTATATAGTCATAATGCCTTTGAAACTGTGATTAAAGCTACAAAACTTCTCTCTCTCCCTCTCTCTCTCTCTCTCACACACACATACACACACACAGATACATACACATGTTTATATAATTACATATAGATAAATGTTTGCACTGAGTCTTAGGACATTAAGAAATTGGCCCTTCTTTGCACATCACAAAATCATTCCTTGGCCTCAGGATAAAACTGTTGCTATGAACTATTAAAACCTGGGCTACAAAGGGCTGAGGTGTCTCTTAGTCCCTAATGTAATGTTTGTTGCCTTTCTTTATTCATCACAGCAGGTATCTGGAGATAAAAATGACAACATATTTTTGGATAGCTCATGAATTATTTTTTAATTTTGTGTTTTTAAAATCTTTATAAATATTATTGCCGTTGCAATAAGGTAGGACTGTAAAATAGATACAAAAGATTTTGAAAGAAAGAAAATTCAAATGTGGGGCTGGAGAGATGGCTCAGC